AAACCTTTTAAAGTATCTCTAAGTACCGCAAACATCATTTCTGTGGCCTTACTTCGGTTTCCTCGAAAATAACACCTATCTATTGCACAGTGATCAAGTGATTACACGGTTTCTTTTTTTGTTGTTGAAATATTTATTTCATATTATTTGAAAAATAAGCTTTCTAAAAATATATAACTTGATGGGATTCAAAGAATATGTTACTTCAGAAATGTGCTATGAAATTGCGGTAGCAATACCTGTACTACATCCTGAAATCTTCAAGACACACATCAAATCGGGACAATACCTGTTGACAGATGGCATACCTTAATACTATATATAGTGTGGGAGTGGCGTCTGTAACATTCTGAGATCTTAAAGACTTGTATACCATTGTCTCCTCACAATATGGGTATAGTTTGTTATATTTTTATTCACAGTTCACTCTTTGTGTTGTGTATTCTACCTCAGTGCTTCCTCTATGGTTTGTGTGATACATGCATAAAAAGCTTGCGGATTAGTTTTATTGGACTGGTACCATGAGTGTTTTTGTTTGTAACTTGTTGTAGTGTGATCAGTGGGCAGTGTTCCAAATATCCTGCAGTGTTCATAATATTTCGCAAAATTTATTTGAGTGAAATTGAACATTCTGAGAATCATTTTCTTGCATTTTGTATTCTATCACAGTGAATTCTAGGTGTTTTAAATTATGGGATACACTCAGGCTGGTATTGTGTTGGTGATTATTGTTTTAGTAAGCCTTCCAACTCCATATGTTATCACATGTAATAAGTATGTAAGTTAATTGAACAAATGAGACAGTTATATTTTCCATAAATTTATTTTGGGATCTGTACACAAGTAACCGTTTTGTTGCTCAAATTTTTGGTAATTTTCACTTTCACTTTTCACTTTTTCATTTGGTTCCCTGAAATCTCGTGTCATTCAGGAGAAAGGCTCATTCAAAGGATCAAAGGTCATTCAGGGAGTGTTAAGGGATTTGTTCATATTATCATATTTATGTTGGCAATAAATTTTGAAATATGTTTGGTCGTATTTGTTTTTAGGTGTTTCATCTAGTCAGCAAAGAGAAGAAATATACAAAATGTCTGATCTCTTCGCTTCCGAACAGTCAAATGGCGAGGTTAAAAAGAAAAGAGTCACGACTCTTGGTAGTCGAAAACGACGAACGTCTGTAGCTGGAAGCTCAATAAATATTGCGATGGAAGAGGTAAGGTGAAGGGTCATTTCACACTCCCACCAGCTTAGAACAGTGTTTGGTGTCATCAATCATTTTAGCTTTTGTTTTGACTGAAGCCAGACCATTTTTTTCGATGGCTTGAAATTTGAGTAACATATTCATAAATTTTGTGAATCAGTATGAATCGGCAACATTTGTAACTGTGAAAATTTTACAGAGGTTCTAAACCATAGAACAATGACTTTCAACCAAATGAATGTCATTAAATCATCAAACAGTGAAAATACGTAGAGCGAAAATTGAAAGGCTTAGTCAATATTATTTTGTTGAATACTGTAAAATTTACTTAATACTTTATTTTAGCTGGAATTAATTTTCACTGAAAAGACTTTTTGGTTGTTTTGTATGGAATTTAATTTCACTGATTTGAAAAGTTGAATGTAAAACATAGGAAAATGAGTATATTCGCTAGATTTTATTTTCACTGAATCATTCGTTCAGCAAAGAATTAATTCCAAAAGAATAAAGTATTTTACAGTACATACCATAATACATGTACATGTTTATTTATTCTACTTGGCATAATCTCTGAATATACGGTTCCATATTTGTTCTATTAAAAGCACATTTTTAATAGCAGTGCATGTAAACTGACATGTGCATATATTTTGTACACTGAAATATAATTTATTTTTACCACGGACACATCTCAGTCATTTATGTAGGCATATACATTACTGGGAACTCAGTTATTTGCATAATAGTCACATGCAAAAATGAACTTTATATACGTGTACATGTATTAGACAATCTTTATGTAACCATATTTGGTCATTCCTACCTTGTATATTAAGACCATCTGATAATGTGATTGTCTTTGTTTAATGGCATCTTTTTCTTTGCATATCTAAACATAATCATGTTACATTTCAGGTGAATTCATCCTGGATACACAACAGTTTTCGTATGCGTCAATGTATTCGATTCACTGAAAAACAGACAGACAATCCAAGTCAATGGTACGTCAATTGTTTAATAATTTAAAATTTTAAAAATTAATTAAAATGACTGAACGGAACTAATGTTTTACTATGTGCATCATTGTTAGATATCAACGAAAAGATGAATTTTATATAATGCCTCGTCATGTCATAGTCTTGCATAATAACGAAAAAGAAAAAGTTTCTTGGAAAAATCTTGCCTTTGGTCCTGTTGTGTCAGTTTAATGATGTTTAGGAGATGGTATTAATGCGTTCTGTCAATGTCATAGTAATCTTAAAATCTAATGTAAGGGTTTAAAACACCACAATGTCAAGTACCTTTTGATACTTGTATATTCTCCATGTACATTTCGGGTCACTATCAGTATTCGGTATTAATTGATTACTATTTATTTGTTCAAAACTAAGGCTTGTAGACCCACAGTGTCAGTGTGGTCGATTACGTTCCATACATGATGAGAGGTACCTGTACAATCCTGACCCAACGACGCCATGGAACGTGGTGACGCATACGCAAACTACAAATACCAACGCATATGGTGAAATCGATTTTGTGGGATACAGTGCGAAACCAGCGAAGGTTAGTTGTTTACTCTGAACCCCTTGTTGCCATTTTCTTGTTGAGGAAAAAGACACATGCATTCATTAAATTTTATTGTTTGTTTTTCAGTATGTTAGGATGGACCATGAAACTCCCACACTGACAATATTAAAATTATTGAAAGATCAGTGGCATTTAGGCACCCCTAACTTACTGATATCCGTGACCGGTGGTGCTAAAGACTTTACGATGACTAACCGACTAAAAGCAGTGTTCCGGAAAGGATTGACTAAAGTGGCTTTGAGTACAAGTATGTTTTATTTGCTTATTGTATGATAACAATTTGGTATCTTTTTCAGGTTTTTATTCTCTGACCTATGAAAGTTGTTAAAGATATTGACGTGGGATGTCCTTTCAAATATAAAAAATTTTTTGTTTTTACTCAAACATCGGGGAATACAATGTATCACATGTAATGAAGGTTATATGATATTTTGTAGAAAAGAAATTTGATATAAACAAATCTTTAATTTCCTGTACAGTGTTTTTTCTTTTTTACTTGTGCTGTATATGTATTTGTAATGGAAAATAAAACAGGTTAATTAAAAAAAAATATATGAATTTACTGATATTTAATGAATACTGATTACTGTAAACAAAATATTTTTCAAGATGAAAGTTTGGGGGCACTATAGTACCACTTGAGGGCATTGTTTGAATGTTTTAAGTGTGTTTGAAGAAAAATGCTGATTTATTTTTCAGATGCTTGGATCATCACTGGAGGTACGCATACTGGTGTGATGAAACATGTCGGTGAAGCAGTACGTGACTACACATTAGGGAGTAGTTCATACGGTGGTAGCAAGATCGTTAATATCGGTATCATACCGTGGGGAGTGGTCAATAAAAGAGATGAGCTCAAAAACCCTGACGTAAGTATAAATTTAATGTGCTGATTTTAAGAAACAAACTGACCAGAAACTTTTATTTTAAGTCTTCATCAAGACCTACCGGTACATCTGATGGGGAATTATTTTCATTAGGACCAACATTAACGAAAGAAGGATTAAGAAAAACATACAAATTTGCAAAGTTTTATCTTATCTTCTTATCTTATAGGGCAAGTGGCCAGCTTTCTACAGACTGGAAGAACCTGAGGGTTTGGAAGCATCATTGGATCCAAACCATACACATTTTATTATGGTAGATAATGGTACTCACTATAGATTTGGCACAGAAATTAAATTACGCAGTAAAATAGAGAAAGCTATTTCAGAGATGAGATTGCAAGGAGGTAATCCAGGTAATAAAAAAAAGACATTTGTCAAATATAGTTATGACTGTATAATGGCATCTGCTGTTTATAACTCCTAGTACTGTCCTTTTTTTTACCCAACCTTGAATATAATATTTTGTAATATATACCATATTTGCTCTATTAGAAGTGCATTCCCAATAAAAATGTACATAAGCATGATAGATATATAAGCAAAAAATAAAGATGACTTATTTTGATCCTAGACTTCAACTAATAGGGTAAATATGCTACTGTATACTGTATTTGCTCTATTAGAAA